GCGGTGCGGTTGGCGCAGGATAGAGCAGGGTTTAGGGCTGTTGTGCATAGGGTCGCTATGAGTCGGAAACGACTCGACGGCACATAACAACAACAACAACCTCCCAGGAGCTCTGGTGGTCTAAAGGTACGAAGCTACACTGTAATCCCAAAGGCACATGGCTCAAATCCACCAGCTGCTTCATGGGAAAAGGATGGGCAATCTTCTCCTTTGGGATTCTCTGCCTTTGAAAGGCCCTTGGAGGATCAGTTATGAGTTCTGAATTGACGGCACACACAACAACCACCTCCCAAAGAGTTCTGGTGGGCTAGTAGGTAAGGGTTTGCACTGCCAGCCCAAAGGCAGGAGATGTGACTCCCCCAGCTGCTCTGTGGGAGAATGATGGGCAGTCTCTTCCTGTTCCCTTTACAGAATCTGAAACTGCACCAGAGGGTCGACTGTGATTCTCTTCTGACTCAGCGGCAGCGAGAGTGAGCTCCCAGTTGCTTAGGGCAGGGTTTCTCTCTGTTCAGGTGGTCGCTGTGCATTGGTGTCGATGGCACTTAACAGCCCCCAACTCCCAACTGACAAACTGCCCACAGATAGAGCATACAGAATACTTAAATGTGACTGAGGAACTAAGCTTCATCAGACATCTTAGGAAAGCCTCATATATAAATAGAAAAGCAAAGAAATGGAAACATTGACCCAAAGGAAATAGAAGTCATACAGGGAATGGAAGGGGAAAAAAAGAAGAAAAACAATGATTTGTAACCTTGGAAAGTTTCAAAATTCTGTTATAGCCATAAAACAGAAACCTCCCAGAAAGTAGAACAAAAAGACCAAAACTGAGAAAACATGCAGGTGAGCCACTTCTCCTCAGGGACCTGGTGGTATCAGAGGGTATTCGGGGATGACCTCCGATCCTCGGGTGACCTGTGGGCCCTCTGTAAACAGAGATAAACAGGGTGGCTCCAGGCCGGGCACTGAAATTTTCAGTCCTTGGATTCCCTTCTGCAGCTATGTATTAATTACAGAGGCTCGTGCTTCCTATCTATTACGTGTACATTATTTTCTGTCTTTAAAATAGAGGTGCCAGTTTTTTGTTTGTTTTTTTGGGGGGGGTGTTTTTATTTTGTTTTGTTTTTTGTTTTTTTGGGTTGTTTTTTTTTTTTTCTCAGACACATCTATCTTTATTTGTTTCCTGTCAGAAAATTGCAAGAATTACACCAAAAAATACTTCAGCCTCTGCTACCTACTGACAAAAATACACCACAAAATTATAAAGCGCTCAGCGGTTTTGCTAGGTTTGTTTCCAGTACTTGGGATTGTTTTCATCTCCCCAGACTGCCTGTTAATTTTTAATGGTCTCTGCAAAGAAAATGTAACCACACCCCTCTCTCTCTCTCTCTCTCTCTCAGCGAGCTGCTGGTGTGCTGAGCCGCACCCTCTGTTCCTCTCTGGAAATCGTCGAAGAGGCCTTAGGAGCAGGGCTGGTGAAGAAAATGATGAAATTCCTGAAGGTGAAAGAATTGGATTGGTTACAGCCTCTTGAATTTCATGATGTGTCATGTTTTGTTAGAACAGAAGCAAGAACGCGGTGTTCCATTATGGAGCCCTGGTGGTGAAGTGGGTAGAAGCTAGGCTATTAATTGAAAGGTTGGCAATTTGAACCTCCCGCGGTTCTGCAGCAGAAAGGTGTGATGATCTGGGTCTGTAGAAATCCTGCGGAGCTGCTCTACTCTGCAGGTACGCCCATTGCCACCGAGTCAGTTGTGACTCAAAGTGGCTCCATAGACAGAGTAGAGCTGCCCGATCAGGATTCTGAGGCTGTAAGTCTCAATAGGAGCAAATCGGCTCATCTCTCTCCTTTGGAGCAATGGATAGATTTGAACTGTCAGCTTTTAGTTAAGCAGCCCAGCACTTAGCACACTGCTCCCCAAAGTTCCTGGAGTCAGACATAAAAGAACAGATAATGGAGGACCACAGTTACATAAAATGTGGAGGCTAGGCAGATCCATTGAGACAAAAGTAGATCTGTGGTTCTCAGGGGATGAGAAGAAAGAAAAATATCTAAATGGAAAATCAAAATGCAAAGAGGAGAGGATTTATAAGAAAAATGTAAGGCCTGTGCCCTTGATAAAGATGGTCTGAGGGGCTTCCATCATGGTTTCTCAGGTCCATTATTTCAGTCATGTTTTCCTGTTTGCAGAGAGCAGGGAATATAGCCCCATCAGTGAGTTATATGGAAAGCAGAGTTACCACATGGAAACAGGATACAGGGGTTTTCTTCTCTGAAAGGAGTGCAGTGAACACAGGCAAGTCAGTCCAGCAGTTAACTGGATTGAGCTGAAGGGCGAGGTGACAGGGCGCTGCCCTCTCCCGATCCTGACCATGAGGTCTGGGTCTAGTGGTGCTTGTCCACTGTGTGAATGAGGCTTTTCCGAACACCCCGGGCTCAGCAGGCCAGGAGAGAGTGCTCTGGGAGTGAAGGGACTGGGGGGGGCTGCTGCTGAGACAGTAAGTACTAGGGGCAGAGGGCCTGAGTGTAGGCCACCATTCAGCTGGTGACATGACCTTCATTCATCCCATCGAGACCCAGCACCTGGTCCCTCCGATCACTCTGTCCCAGCAGTAGCAGCCACAGGCTACTGGTTCCATGCACGTGGGTGCACTGTATAGGCATGCACGCATACATGCATTCTAAAGAGCTTGCAGTGGATAGCTTTTAGGGCCATGATTTGACAATCGTCACCTTTTAAAGTGATCTGAGTTCAGTGTTCTCGAGGCAGGACTGTCAGCCTGACAGCCATGGAAGTGACACGGGAGCGCCTTGTCCTCCCCTTTCCTGTGCAGCTGCCAGTCACAGCACTGTTGCCTTCAGCCCTTCCACATACAGCCTTCCAGAGGCAATTACTCAGGAGTACATGACAGGGCTGCGCGCCCCTCCAAGTGCGGGCGCCTGTGAGAGGCTGTGAGTGACACTCATGCCTCAGGGACAGGCTCGCTCACCGGGAATTCTCCTGCAGAAAGTCAGGAAAACACTAGTCAGCTTGCACCTGCACCCTGTGGTTTCTGGTCAAGAATAATCACAGGGTTGATTTTCTTCTCCTAATTTCATTCCGTATTCTAGGCTGGAGGCCAGACCGCATCACATTACGCCATTAAGACCCTAGCTGTCTGCACCAATAGTTGTCACGAGGCACGGGAAGAAGTTATACGGCTGGATAAAAGTAAGTGACAGTTTCATTATGCTGAGCCCCTGTCCCAGAGGTTAATCCATCCTGGCTGGGAACTGAGGATGGGGAGCGAGCAGTAACTTGGCAGTAATGCCGTTAACCTCTCCCCACACTCAGCAGTGTTTACTGAGCAAGACAGCATTCTGTCTGCGGCTCTAGAAGCATTTAATTAGCCCCTTGGCTGCATCCAGGTATATGCTCGGGCTGGAGACTGAGCTGAGAGGCAGCTAGCTCAAAGGTACCAGGGGCCAAGCTAGGAGGCTAGCTGCCCTTACCAAGTTGAATGGAAACTGTTTCTAAAGCATTCTGCTTACACTGTGCTAGCAGATACTTCAAGGATTTTTTTTAAAGGCAAAAAACTCTTCAGCCTTACTTTTAAGAGTCCCTGAGTGGTGCAGAGAGCTAAGCACTTGACTACTAATGGAATGTTTTGCAGCTTTAGTCTAGAAACATCAGTTGACAGTGGTTGTTCATAGCAGGGATTCCCAGTAAGGCAGCCTGCTAATGTTCTCCTGAGCACCTCACAGCAAGTGAATGCAGTGGGGTCCCACCCGTGATACAGGCATCTTTCCTCTGCATCCTTTCTCCCTTCTGTTAACAGCTGTAGTCTAGTTGCATCTTTTTCTGGGGTGTGAGGTGGGACCAATGCCCATCATTGAATGTGGAGGATCTCATAGAGATGGCAGAAAAAACAGAAACAGACCTGGGTTCCAGTTTTCACCCTGCCACTTACAGGACATGTAGTCTTCAACAAGTTCTGCATTTAAGCTCTCTGGTTCCCTGTTTCCTCATCTATAAAATGAAAATAACCAAGCCTCCTCCTAGATGTTGGGGTAAAAGTTAAGTAAGTATAGTATGTGATTAGCACAAGGCTTAGCTAATGGCCACTAGCACCTAAGCTAATCTAAGCCTCTCAACAGATGCTGTGTTAGCTTGTGTCTACCTGTTCATACAGATTGGTAGCCACGTTCACCCCAGTTGGTGCCAATAAATTTGAAAGACGACAGCTAGCTGGCCAACTGGAAGATATCCATATTTGTTCCCTTTTCCAAAATGACGATCTAATAAAATGCAGAAATTATCAGACAATGTCATTAATATCACATGCAAATAAAATCTTGCTGAAGATTATCTACAAGTGGCTGGAACAATATATCAGCAGAGAAATGCCAGAAATTAAAGCTGCATTTAGAAGAGGTAGTGAAACCAGAGGTATCATTGCTAATATCAGATAGCTCTTGTCTGAAAGCAGAAAATACCAAAAGGGTGTGTGTTTGTATTTTATTGACTATGCTAAAGACATTTGGCTGTGTGGATTACAACAAATTATGACAAACCTTGAGAAGAATATCAGAACAATTAATTGTGCCCATGCAAAACCTATACCTAGACCAAGAAGCTATTGTCTGAACAGAGCAAGGAAACACTGTATGGTTCAAGAGAGGTATGCATCAGGATGGAGTCCTTTCTCTGTACTTGTCCAGTCTGTATGCTGAACAAATCATTTGAGTGCCTTTACTATATGAAGAAGAATATGGGATAAAGATCAGAGGAAGACTCAACAACTTTTATCATGCGGATGAGACAACCTTGCTTGCTGAAAGTGAAGACTTGAAATTCTTACTGCAGAAGTTCAAAGAAACTTCAATATGGCATATATTTGAACATCAAGAAGACAAAGCTCTTCACCCTGGGCCAATAGGTAACATCATGACAGATGGAGAAAAAGACTGAAGTTGTCAATGATTTTGTATTTCTTGGATCCCAAGCAACACCCTTGGTACTGTTGCTGTTATGTGCCCCACGACTCATAGCCACCCTATATACAATAGCTTTGAACTCTGCTCTATCCTGAACCAGTCTCACTGACTCCAACACACCCAATCCAATTGCCTAGTTACCATGCCCATCCACCTCATCCCATACTTCTTATCCTTTAGTATCAGCAGTCAAGAACTCAAAAGACATATTGCATTGGGAAACTCTACTATTAAGGGCCTCTCCAAAGTGTAAAGAAGCAGTGATGCTAGTTTAAAGATTAAAGTATGATTTAAGCCATGGTCTTTTTCAGCTACTTGCTATGCATCTGAATGGACAATGAATGAGGATGACAGAAGAAGAATCCATGCCTTTTGAGTTGTGGTGTTGGAGAAGAGTACTGACTATCCTATAGACACCAAAAGAACAAACAAATATGTCTTGGAGAAAGTACAACCAAGAGTGCTCCTTAGAGGCAAAGTTGATGAAACTTCACCTGACGTATCTTGGGCATATAGTTAGGAAGGATTAGTCCTTGGAAAGAGACATCATTCATGGAAAGTTGGATGGTTGACAAAAGAGAGGAAGACACTCAACAAGATCGAGTGACATAGTGACTATACCAGTGGGTTCAAGCGTAGCTGAGATAATGAGGATGGCAAAAGAGAGGGCAGGGTTTAGATCCATTGTTTATGATGCCACTGGGAATCATAGTTGACACCATGGCACCTAATAACAACAAAAACTACATTTGACTATTTAAATGAAACTGTTCGCCCCTCAGTCACACTTACTTTAATTCCAGTATAAGTGGTTCTCTATTGGAAGCACAGATGAAGGTTTCCATGATCACAGACATTTCTTGTGCTTAGCTCTGGTATAGATAGACACATTTTCAGGACTCTCCATTCAAATCCTGAAGTCTTACCTCCTCATTGATCTCTAGCCCCCCGAAGGTGATTGTTTGGAGTGTAGTGTGAGGTCAGTGGGGCTAACTCATGTCAAATGTTTCTAAAGAACTACTAATGCTAGAGAAATACCAACATCGGTTACATCAGGAATTTTCCCCAGAATTTTAGCCCTCTTACTTCCAACACATCTGATTTGGGACCATTTCTGAAGAATATTTGGAATGGCTCCACAGGGAAGTCACTATTCTTGAATACCTTAGAGCTGGAACTGACTCTTAATTGACCCTCCAGTGGGTTTTCAGAGGCAATTAATCACATAGGAGGAGAGGACCCATCTCTCCTCCATGGAGCAACTGGTGAATCTGAACTGTGTACCTTTGAGATGGCAACACGGCTCCTTACCCCTAGGCCACCATAGTTTGACATTTGAATCCAGCAGTGATGTAGCTTCAGTCCTTGCTTCCTGATACAAGGAGAATCCCCTGGTTTCCACTCGTTTGCTGACATTGTCTCTCTGGAGAGTAAGGGCCTTTGGAGTGGAATGTGTGAAGGAGAGCCTCACAGCCCTGAGCTGGCTCCAGAGTGTCTGCTTGGAGCCCCTGGAGGCCCCTGAGGCCAGGCCACTGGTTCTTTGGGTTCTCTCCTATTGTTTTAGAAAGTACAAAAATCAAGGGCCAGCTCGTGGTCCTTGTCTTAATGAGCCCATGCGCTGCAGCTGATGCAGTTTGCCACTTCCTCTGCCTAGAAACATTCCCTTGGACTGGCTTCCTCACCCTCCTGCTTTTACTCCTTCTTCCTCTCTGGTCTCCATGCCTGGATTCTCCTCATGTCCCAGCCTCAGTGTGTCAGAGATTCCAGGGCCTATGCTTTAGACCACATTTCTCCCCTGTTCTCGTTCCCTCAGTAATCTCTTCCACTGGTTTGGTTGTAAATGCCATCTGTGTGCTGAGGACTCCTAAACTGATGCTCCCATGCTGGGTGTCTCCTCTGAACTCCAGCCTGTGACATTGTATTGCCTGCTCAGCATCTCCACATGACTGTCCAGCTACAATCTTTGATTTCTCATGACCAAAACAGCTCCTGATGCCCCTCCCCAAAACTTCTCGTCCTGTTGCTGTCCCCATCTCATAAAGGCTAGCCCATCTTCCCAGTTAATCATGCAAAAAGCATTAGACTCATACTGGGCTCTTACTTTTATTTCATATATCCCATAACTAGTCCATCAGCAAATCCTATCCTCTCTACCTTCAATATCTAATCAGAATTTTACCATTCTTGTCACTCCCATGGCTGCTGCTCTGGTCCAGGGCTCTATTATCTTCCATTTGAATCATTGCACGAGTCTCCTCATTGGGCCTCCTGCTTCGGCCTTTGCCCCATGATTTATTCTCAGCACAGCAGCCCTCGCCTCTAGAAATGTGGATCAGTTCATTTGTCATTCTCTCAAAACCTCTCAGTGGCTTCTCATCCTACTTAGTTATCCTGTTATTTTTCAAAGCAAATTCGTTGGACTCAAGTCTTGGTGTTACTTCTCTTATGTTGTCTCCATCAAGCACGTGGATCAACGTGAACATTTGAACCATTTGGCTTCACGTATGCGCCATACTCCTACCTCAGGGCCTTTGAACTTGCAGTACTCTCTCCTTGAAATGTGCCCTCCCAAATATCCACACAACTCCCTCTTCCACTTCTTAAAATTGCCTCCTCCCGTGCCTAACCCCATACTAACTAGCCCCTTCCCTGCTTTCTTTCCGTCCATAACACTTACACTATCTGACATATGTTTAACTTACTATCTCTTTTCCAACCACTAGGAGGTGAGGGGCTGAAGGGCACAGCTTCTGTCTGTTTTGTTCACTGCTGTGAGCTGCAGCTTCATTCCCAGGGCTGTAGAATGGTATCTAGCTTTCATTTGTGTGGCAGCCGTGTCGTACCAGGCCGTGTTCTGAACCTGATACATCAGAGACCCAGCAAAGAGTCGCAAGCTTCCTAGGTGTTCCATGAATGCTTGCGGAATGAGATCGTGAACATGTTCAGTGTGTTTGGTCACCAGTTCCCTTCAGATGCTGTTGCTAGCATCCTGTTTTGATATGCACTGGAACTGTTGATTTTCTCTCTCCCTTTGCTGTAGATTTTAGTGTTTTGATGAAGTTACTAAACTCAGAGGATGAAATCCTGGTGGGAAATGCAGCCCTCTGCTTTGGTAACTGCATGGAGGTGCCGAAGGCCTCATCGTCCCTACTAAAGACAGACATCGTGAAGATTCTGTTGAAGCACGCAGGTGGCAGTGCCCAGAAGACAGATGTGCAGCTGAACGCAGGGATTGCCCTGGCGAAGCTGTGCACCGCCGACCCCAGGTACCTCGTGACCACCGGCCCATCCCTTCCTGAGGTGCCCTGTTTCGAGTGGGGCTCTCTCCCTGGCTGGTGCAGATGATTAAGGTGGTTGGCTATTAACCAATAGAATGGGAGTTCAGGTCCACCAAGAGTTGCCTGGAGGACTGCTCTGCTCTTTGCACATTGAGTCACCATGAATCATAATTGACATGTTGGCAACGGATCTGTGAGTCCTTAGCCTGGGAGCCCCTGAGCCTTTTGTAAGAAATGTGTGGGGCTCTTTCTCAGAGCGACCTTCATTGAGGGAACTGGGGAGCTTTCAGTCTCTAATCAAAGAGAAGGAACCACTTTGTCTGCCTTGTATTAAATTGTCATTTCTCTCTTCCAGCCCTTATTCTTCATCCTTCCCTTCCCCCTTTCTCTTCCCACCATCTCTCTTTTAAGTGCCTCTTTTTGCTGTTCCCTTCTTTTCAAGAGACAGATGTCTGCTTCATTTTCTGTGTGGTCCAAGTGGGAGCGGAAATACAGAGCAATATGGCTTCAGCCACTCAGCCAACCAGGACAGGGGCCCAGGGCTGAACGGAGCCTAGCATCTCATGGGGCTCCGACTTCTGCTCTGGCCTGTTCTGATGTGCACTAGCTCTCAGTCAGAGATGACAGAAGGGGTTCACTTGGACAGAGTGATGAAGGGTGTAGCATACGAGGGATGAGGAGTAGAATTCAGGCCTTGCTGGCTCCTTCCCATCAGACCTGAGCACTTCTAACTCTCCCTCTGCAGAATGTGAGGGTTGGCCCACATGACGTCTCAGGTCCTTGCACGTTCAGTTTGAGTGCTCATATAGGAGGAATAGATGAAATATTTTCTTCCATAGGCCACTTCAGCCAGGATGAGCTCAAACTGGCAAGCAGCTGGGGAATTCCAGAGAGCAGGGTCCCATTCAATCAGCCTGTCATATCTGCCACCCACACCTGTACTTTTTATTGTTTTGGGGTTCCCCCTGACAACCTTACCCCCATAATCTTGAAGGATCCCCAATGCCACAGCCACTTCCCTCCTGGCACCTAGAGTCCACAGAACTCGTATTCTGTTTGCTTGTATCTGGGACAGGGGTTATTGGGCATCAGAAGTCAAGCTGTGGCCCTCATGCCCTGAATTCTGTGTTTGTGACAGGTATGCCACTCAGCTGAGAGAGCTGCACGGGCTAGAAATCCTCAACTCCACTGTGAAGCACATCAGAGATTGAAAGAGATGGCAATCGTATATATATTTTTACAATAAACCCACTTTATGCTCTCAGTTGCTCCTGGATAGCCAACACCCTTTTTGTGTCCAATCCAGAATTGCAGAGTGTTTCGTCTCTTAGGTCTTCAGTGGCAATAAAAAAGCATCAGGTTCACTCGAAAGGGAGGGTTTCTGGACTGGCCGGCTCAGCATCCATCGAACCATCCTCCTAGTTCCTTCTCTCCTGTCAAGGCAGGAAACCAGCAAACACAAACTACATTCCCTGGGCTCCCCTGTTGCAATGTTTCTAGGTGGAAGTTTGCTTCTGTCAATCTAATGCCATGCTCTGCCCCTTTCACTGTTTTTTGCCAACAACATGCTAGAAACAGCAGATGTACCTGCAGCAGCATTCCATACCCATTTTGCAGCTTCTGGAGCACCAACAGGCAGTAATGTCAACTGTGATGGAAATTCCTGAAACCTGGGCCACAGCTCAAGTGGGTACCTGGCAGAGGTGCTCTGAAAGTCCCTGGTGGTCATTACTGGAGGCCACTCCTACCACCTCCCATGGTCCATCTAATAATTCTTTCTGTGTACTAAGTGATTCTCTGCTTAAAGTGTCAAAGCACAGGGTCCTGATTTCCCACTGAATCCTGACTGATGCAGACATGTAATTTCCCTAGACCACTGTACCCACACTCCATCTACAAAGGCAATGATCCCTTTCAGTTCTCCTGAAGCCACTCTCAAACTGATAGGGTCACCTGTGAACACCCAAATGCCTGAAAGAAAAACCCAGAAAGTTATTTTAAGTCCATGTTTTCATTACACTCCCTTGGCCATTTGAAGGAAGGAAGAAGGCAAGATGTACATATCTCAGTGAATGCCAGGAGTCCCAGATGAACCTTCTGTAGACTCAGCCCTGTCCTTCCACCTTCCACCTGTGTGACTGTGGACAAGTCACTTACCCTCTCTGAGCTTTGGTTCCTTTTTCTAGAAAGACTAGAATTATACCTGTCCAATCCCCTTCCTCTCTTGGAGGGAAGGTCCAATAAAGCCTTAGAGGTGGAGGCATTGACACTTCAACACTTACACTCACTACACAAACATTCGGGAGCTCTGTGGTGAGGTCTGAAGAGGATTGGGCTGCTCACTCGAAGGATGCTTCTCTCTTGGTGGTTTGAATCCTCCAGTAAACAGTGTTCTCCTGTGTGATTTACAGCCTCAGGAAACCAAAGGGACAGCTAGGAGTTGATTGTGACTCCACAATGGGAAGTTTGAGTTTCCGAGACTCTGTGTTGGGAACTCTGGTGGCCTAGTGGTAACGAGGTGAGCTGCCCATCCAAAGGCATGAGGTTCTAATGCACCAGCTGCTCTGCAGGAGAAAGATGGGCAGTCCTGTCTCATGTGAGTTACAGCTTCCGAAAACCCACTGGAGAGTCAGCTATGAGTCGGTTCCATCTTGATGGCACAACAACAACAACAGCTTGAGGTTAAGGGCCTAACCGTGACAGTGGGTTAAGTGTGAGGGGCCTGTCAAAGGGCACAGCAGGCGCTGTTTAAGGAGCCAGAGCTGGGCCTTTTCTGAAGCATCTAGGAAAGGAAATCTCTCTGGAATACTTGCTTCTGGACTTCCAAAGGAAGTTTCTTTATGAGTGAGATAACCTTTGGCTTAAATGAAGAACTCCTCCTAAAACCAAGGTAGAAAATTAGCACTTTGGGGGCTAGAAAGAAATCCATATGCCCAAGACACTGTGGCATGGATGTGAAGTATGGGGCTGAGGGAGGCTCCTGGGAGTTCTGTGATGGTGTCACAATGCAGTCCTGGGCAACCAGCAAGTGACAGGCCACACCTACCCTGAAAACAATTGAGAAGCTGTCAGATTGCCAAAAGAAACAGATGACTTGATGTGAAACAGCACAGAGAAGAAGGAAAGTAGAGGCTGCAGAATTGCTGTTTTCAGAGGGAGTCTCTCTGTATCCGGACTTTACTATACAGGCTTATCTGCTTGGATTTAAAGTTCAGTCCCTTCTCTCACTCATGGGCTCTTCTCATCCTCCCTGGCCCCTGAAGAGGGTGATTATATGTGTAATCTCTTCCCCAAAGAGTGAGGAACACCAAATGGTTTTATTATCTTTGCTTCCAAGTACCTGCTGAGAGCAGTTGATCTTCACTCTGGAGAAGGGCCTGGCTACACCTGAGGAGATGTGGGAAGAGATGGTTCACAAACTCGTATTCTCCACCTCCAAGAGGAGCTACCTCCCTTAATCCCGAGATCACTAACATGTCCAAGGATCCTGGACTTCCGGCCATATGAAAGAAACCAGTGCCCACTGGCCTGGAGCCGCCAGCACCATCTCCCCACCAAAGACTCAAGCCAGTCTCCATCTACTGCCTGGCTCGTAGCACCTCTGTGTGTGGCAGGGTAGAAGCCGTGCTCCGCCGGAAGTTCACGGCTGGGACCTCATGGGAGCAGATCTCTAGGCCTCTGAGCATGTCCAACTATCAGCCTTTCCATTCGTAGCCCCGAATGGGACCTGCTGTGCCACCATCTAAGCGGCCACAGCTCATCCCAGGAGAGTAGACTGCTCATTCAGTGAACATCGGAATTGAGTGGTTCAACCTGAAGAGTATAAGCCCAAGACAGAAATAAAGATCCACCCTCTAACCTCAGCAGAGCTCTACATAAAGGGCGGTAAGCAGCTGTGGATTGTTTTCATTGACCATGAAACAGAGCACAGCTCCTCATGGGCAGTAAATTAGGATTAAGGTTAAAAATTGGCAAGAAATAGCAGGAAGGGGAATGTTGGTGCAACAGGTCAGGGGTATAATACCAAGCTCTTTTCTAGGGGGCTCTTAAAATAAGGGCCTTTTGACTTAGAGAACTGAGTGAAAGGTAATTTCTACTAGGAGATATCTTCAGGCCAGATGACTTTTAAGCCTACATGACTCTATTATTATTTCTTTTTGCTTATTTACTTTCTTTGCCATATATCTCATCCTCTCAATTTCTAGAAAAACACAAAATACTAGAGAAGTGGATACTTTTTAAACAATTTTCATGTATATAATAAAGGTCAGGATTAGAGCTACTGTACATAGGGTCACAATGAGTCACAGATGACTGGATGAAACATAACATGTAATATCTATTTACCTATTAATCCTACATGACCTTTTTTTAAAAAAAACCCCAAAGGTCACAGTTTCTAAATGCTTTAGAAATATGGGCTCCCCATGGGTCCAGTTAAAGAGAGAGTGATTGCAGGTGGAGAAAGTGAACATTGAGAATTGACTCTTTCCCAGTGAGAGGTCCTGGTCTTCACATCTTGGCATCACGCAAGCCAGCAGAGAGTAAATAAAATATCTTCTGCCTGTGCATTGACGTGTTTTCCCTGTACCCAGACTGTTGTTATGAGCCCTCAAGTTGACCCCAATTCATAGAGATTCACGTACAGCAGAGCTGGAGGCTGCTGGTGCTGCACCGTCCCCACAGTCGGCTGCACCTCAGACTGTTACGGTCCCCGAGGTTTTCAGTGGCTGGTTTTCAGAAATACAGCCGCAGACCTTTCTTTCTAGTCTGCCTCAGTCTGGTAGCACCGCTGAGACTTGCTCAGCCTCCTGGCAGCACACAAGCTTTCACAGGCAGGCGGCGGTAGCTGTGCCTGAGTTGCATCAACTCGAAATGAAACCCAGATCTCCTGCATGGGAGGTGAGAATTCCACTTGCATCATAAGAGATTCTGTGAAGCCAGTATTTTCTTCTTTTTATTGGTGAAGACACGATAATATGAAGAGAATAATTCTTTGCTTAGGATCACATGGTAAGTAGTAGTGGTGGTGATATTCATTGCCATTGAGTCTAAACTGCCTCATAACTGATCCCCCAGTGGGATGTAAATTGCATAGGAGGAGATTGTTCATCTTCTGTGGAGCAGCTGGTGGATTTGAACCAGAGGCTTCTGGACTGGCAGCTCAACTCCTCGCCACTAAGCCACCAGAGCTCCCTCACACAGTCAATAGAGGAGTTAAATTTGTCCCCCAGTCTATGTTTTAACTGCTTTCCCATGTAACATTTTCCTCCATGGACTATACATAGCCCAGGATAAATGTCAGGTCACTTCTCAGAGCCTCGGTTTCCCTCTGTAGAATAGAAACAACAGTCCCCACCTCACAGAATACTGGAGGTTGGATGTAATATATATATATTACATATATGACTAATAGAAGGCATTTCCTTGATGACGGCTATTACAGAACAGAAGCTGTCATGAATTCACTCTCTACCCCCTCCCACCCCACCAATCTGCTCATCACCCCATCCTTCACCTCACTTAGCTTTCTTGGATACTCACTATCCCGTCTCCCAGGCATGGTCACAAAAATGGAAGTGCTCAGAGACTGAGCTCCTACCTAGAAGCCTACCGCTCCTTTTTTCTATAGGCAGTAATAATATGATGAAACATCTGCTATTTCAGCATTTTTTACACATACAGTTATTTCAGTGACACCGACTGTATTCCCTGCATTGTGCGATTGTCACCATTAGCCATTTTGAAATGTTCATCACCTTTCGTGGAAGCTATGTACTCCAAAGCAATTACTCCTTTTGTCCTCTTCCTCCTCTCATAAGGATAACCCACAGGTCAGTGATTCAAATCCTCCAGATACTCCTTGGGGGAAAGATGGACCGCCTCGTCTCATAAAGATGTACAGGCTCAGAGAACAGATGGAGGATCTTTATGAGTTGGAATCAACTTGACAGCAGTGGGTTTGGAGTTTCTACCTCTGCTAAGTGTGGGAGAAGGATGAGTGATGAAATGCTCTGAAAACACACTGGAGGGTCAGCTATGGGTCAGTTCTGATTTGACAGTACACAGCAACAGTGGTTGCAACTAAGCTTTGGTTGCTATGCATCTGCCTATTCTAGCTGTTTGATGAAAGTGTGATCCTACAGCATCTGTCCTTTGTGACTGACTCCTAAGGACATTCCCAAAGGAATTGAAAGCAGAAGTGCAGATG